TTAAGTAATTTAAGTTCAAACTTGGTATTTTTGGTACAAATTTTTCTTTTAATTTTAATTATTACGTTTTATACTATTTACCTACAATATGTGTAACAATCAGGTTCTATATAAAAATGACAAGCCTTTCTTCAATCAAATCAATACAGCGACAATTTTAGCAATTTGTTGGTAAACTTAAATAAATAAAAATCAATTTACTTTAAAAAAATATTTTGCATTAAGTTATCAGTGATCATTATAGTGTGCCAATAAAGTATGATAATTTTGATGACAAGATATAGTATGATTAAAATTCAAAAAATAAAACAGACTGAACCGTCTCAGCGATCTCAAGATTAAGCTTTGCAATGACAGGTCTTCTCAAAATACTAGGTACAAGAATTGCCAATCTTAAGTGACAGTCTGTGGACAGAAGACATAGCTCGAAGTACTGATGGGGCAGAAAAGTTCAGTCGTCGTAGAGTCGATGGGGCAAGAAATACAGAAAACATAGTTGTAGGAGCCTCCCATTCGGTGGACCGACTGGCACAGGTCGCGGGAAGCATCTGGATGAGAGCAGTCCTTGTGTGAAAAAAAGTATTTGAGCATGTTTATATCCATTGTCTGGTACCTATAGTACAAGCTTTGAATAATTTGGGACTAGATGTGGCTGTGTAAAATGTCCAAGGATTTTTTAAATTCATGAGGAGAGTATTTGATTGAAACGAACTAGAAAGAAAGAAAGAAACATTTATTACGATGAACATCACTTAGTTAAGGATAGAGAAGGTACTATACGGAAAAAAAGACAGAAATAGCACATAAATATTACAAGGAAATAAAAAGTGAACTGAGCAGTGCTATCCTATCGCAACAGCGATGCCCATCGCAATGGACTCCACTCAGCATATGCCATGGCCCACGGTGGGGAAGGCCACGACGCTGGTTTTCAGTGTGCCCCATGCCGAGTAGGGCTGTTCCTAGTTCGTTTCAGTCGAATACTCTCTCTCTGACTCTTGAATCTGAAGTCTTTGCTTTGCTTTTTGCATGATTTCCAAAGCATATTGGCGCGGTATATCGTGTAATATCATTTGATAAATGGCGCTAATGTGGAAACAGCAGATTAACACCAATTACCGATGCTACTCTAATTAAACTTATAAAGTGTTTAACTTTTCAATTATCGAGAAATATCGATAAAACGAATATACACTGCGGTGTATTTCGGTGTGTTTTTTTCAGGAACGGTGTGTTTTGTTACGTCATAAGTCGGCGAAACTTTAGATGTGCTTAACGCCCGTATTCACAAACGATGCTTGCTTAGGTGAAGCAGCGTTGAATGGGGCTTTGTGATTGATTCGTGTGTGACCCTGTGCGACCACGCGCACTGTAAGACCTCATAGTAATGTTTGTGAATAGGGGCGTTAGATTCGTACCGAAACAGCTCTTTCTTATAAATAAAATAAATAAATAAATAAATCTTTGGACAATTTCACACAGCGCCAGCTAGCCCCAAAGTAAGCAACTTAATGCTTGTGTTATGGGTGCTAGCTTAACGGATATACTACTTATATACTTTTTTTTTAAATACATAAATATTATACATAGTCACACCCAGACCCGTCACAGAAATTAAAATTCATCATTTCAATTTCTGCCCGGCCGGGAATCGAACCCGGGACCTCTCGGCATAGTAGTCCGTTCTGAACCACTACACCAAACGGCCGACTAGACTTATACATCACATGTTATACATCACATGTCGCTACTCCTGCACCGTTCCATTATTACAGGAGTCTAGTCAGATAAGCACTTATCTTTAATGTTATACTCCTCGTTCCTACGCTACTTTTGTCAAATTCGTGGTCTCAATTCGTGATTTCCTTTACTCTACCCATAGAGATATAGAGAGATGTGCGCTAATGCGCTGAGTTCGAAACTCAGTGTCGCATTAGAAATTGACACTCACAAAGTAATCAAAATATATACTCACTAGCTTTTGCCCGCGGCTTCACCCGCGTGAAATTTAGTTTGTCACAGATCTTCATAAATTATGCCTGTATGTTATTCTGGGTTATAAACAATAATACTGTAAAGTTTCATCAAAATCCGTTCGGTAGTTTTTGCGTGAAAGAGCAGCAAACATCCAGACATCCAGAAATCCAAACTTTCGCATTTATAATATTAGTAGGATTATCCACTGCGATATCCAGTAGTCAACGTTCGAAAATCATTAGTACTACGCAAGCAATGTAAACTGTTTACATTATGACGTCTACAGCAATGTGTTCTGTTTTTGGGTATATTACTGCGACACCGGCCCCGCCCCCTTGTCACATCTCCCTTTAGTTTCTGTGATCTGTGACTCTACCCTTTGTAGGTCCGCAAGCAGATGTCTTTTGGAGTAGGATAGTCATGCAGGGCTGAGCTCGTTGCCTAGTGTGTCATCTATTTAATAGAACGACAACCTCAATAAGATAGCTCGTAGAGTTCTGTGTACCTTCCATGAGTTTACGTTAGGTGTGCTCGCTAGCAATTACGTCAAAAATCTCTATGAAGATAAAAGTCTATAATAAACTACCTACATACATAAAATCTGAACCAAATACAAATAAATTTATTAATTTGCTAAAAAAATTTCTACTAAGCAAGTGTTACTATGATTTAAATGAATATTATAATGATAAGCCCACATATACAGTACTATGCAATACATACATTTAACTATTATCTACATATTGTATAACCCATTATATGACATTCAGTTATTCAGTTACCTACTATACTCATTATGATAATTATTAGAATTATTTTTTCCTATTCCCTGGAGAGACTTTATAAAAAAAAAAGTGTCGGCCCAGTATGCGTAATTTTTCAAATATATTTTTTATACAATAATAGACATTATATTCCAAATGCTTTATGTACTTCCTATCAAAGACATCTATTAAATTTATTTGATTGCTATTGTAAATACGAGTAAAATTGCAATGCCCTTGCAGGGCCCATATGTTTACCTTACATATTTTATAAGACCTTACTGTACATACATACATATGTGATGCAATAAATAAATGAATATGAATATGAATAAGATTTTGTTTCTTGAAAGTAGCCGCTAGGGGCGCTGCACAATATGTCATACTAATTAATGTCATTTTTTTACGCAGTCGCTAGCGAGTACACCTAACGTAAACTCATGGTAAGCACACTGGGATTTGTTACAGGCAGGCAGACTGAAATTATTGTTTCTTTGCCTTTGTGTCATTCTTCTCTATTCTGAGCAGATCGCATCATCAGCTATCGTGTTTCCTATGTTAGTTTTCTGTGTATCAGTATCATTGACTCGAGAATGTAACGAACTGTGACGCATTTCACTCGAGTAAGATCAATGATCATTTACACACATTGATGACGAAAATATGAAACTGATCAAGTGCGAGTTGGACAGGCATGCAAAAGTTTACAGACAGACAAAGCTTTTCAAGCTACACATTACAGAATCTCAATTATAATAATAGGGGCTATTTTTCACCTTATGTCGGCCGTTTGGTGTAGTGGTTCAGAACGGACTACTATGCCGAGAGGTCCCGGGTTAGATTCCAGGCCGGGCAGAAATTGAAAAGATGAATTTTAATTTCTGTGACGGGTCTGGGTGTTACTATGTATAAAATGTATGTATTTAAAAAAAGTATATAAGTAGTATATCCGTTAAGCTAGCACCCATAACACAAGCATTAACTTGCTTACTTTGGGGCTAGCTTGCGCTGTGTGAAATTGTCCAAAGATTTATTTATTTATTATTATCTGTATAATATTGAACACCACTTTATAGTATACAATTTTACTTTGCTCTTTTTGATTTTCGTTAATTTTGATACTTTTCTAAGGACTGAGAAGCAGAACTGGTCTTGAATCTTACAAATTTGGTAGACAGTTATGCTAAATACGCATAGATTGATGCACGAAATTATTTCGCGTGAAGCACAAAAGTAAATCACTTCTTGTAGTCGTCGGTCTATCGAGTAGGGGTCACCCTACACTACAAAGTCTCGTTCAATAATCCGTTTACTTAGCTTATTATGGGTTCTTGTAAAGCTCAATTTTTATTTAGTAGGGTTTCCTTTTTTTGAAAAAGTTTGTCATTTTTTATCGCAGATATTTCAATGTAATAAACATTGTTTGTGAGCGTGTTAAAGAACCTCGTTAAGGCTTTTTGCTTTCAATAATTTTAGTATCATACCAACTTAAAGTAATTCCAAACGCATTCGCAAATAACTAAAAGACGAGCTTTCAGCAAAGTATCATTTGTGTGAGATTTTATTACAGATCCTTCAATCATAGAAAATGTTTATATGGATTTAAAAATTGCTTATGCTACTCTGTTCCACTAAATAATTTCTATTAATAATATTTTTATGTAATTATAACTCATTAAAGTCAGTAAAATTACTATTAGGAAATATTGTTTAAATGATTGTTGTGTAAAACGAACAATAACAGAACTATTAGTACTGAAGAATTTTCGTTACCAGAATACATTGAATAAACTGTTATTTCTTTGTACGAGTAGCATGTTAATGATAATGATTGAGTTATAAAACGGATAATGACGTATACATCGCTGCTAACTGCCAACTTTCCAAAAATTTGGGAAAATTGGTTTTTCATTTCACATATGACACGATGACAGAGAACTCTCACTTTTGGCCAATTTGCGAGGCAAAATTAAATCGACCAAAAACGTTCCGGAGAGCGATTCTAGACAAGAAAATCGTAACGGCGACATGGTAACGACACACCAAATTGCCCCCCTATCGGCCATTCGAAAGGAAATTATCGGAAGTAGCAGCCCGTACTGAGTCTAAGGCACGCGAATACCATTTTTTCATTTCCAACCATTTTTCGCTCACATCGGAATTGTGAAGGAAGCCAAAGCACCCGGCCGACCGTGAACAGGCTGGAAAAACGCAACTTTATAGCAACACGTATATAAATATACCGGCGGCTAACGACCGTGATTCAGTTATACGCGATCGCTTACACAAAATGGTGGTTGAAACAGGGATGACATATTAGAACAGATAAAAGTGAATCGTGGACAGTTGTGCAATAAGTGAAGTGGGGACCAGTCGTTGTATTGAAGATACCAAGATGCGTGTGAGGTTACAGACTTTGTTTGTGTTGTGGATTGCCGTGTTGTCGAACGCGAATGAGGATTACGAGAATAAGCTGACCAAGCTCTGGTCGGTATCAGGATCGAGCAACAGTGATGGGTCAGCTGTTTTAAACGTCACGAGTGCTTCAATTGTGATACAACCCTCGAGCTACGGCACCGATCAAGTCGCAAGGGCATCTAGAGAGAGGAAATACGCCTTCAAGCCGAGGGCCATACCGCTCCGAAGGGCTGAGGCTCCCCAGGTCGAGAGAAACGTCTACTATTCCGATGATGTGAACAAGTACAAATCTGAGGTTCTTTTCCCCGGTAATTATTTCCCAATTGCCAAAGAGAAAAGTAACGAGAACTTAACTAAGGATTCAGTGTACCAACAAGTTTTTCATCCCAAATCTATACCACTGATCAGGAGTCAAGAGTTCCAGGCCAGGTCACTCGACACAAACTCAGACCCGATCATTGAGAAACCCGAAAGTTTTTCAGAACAGCCCGCATCAAGACGATCGCTATCTTGTGAGTAAATTGACTTGTTATCCAAATTGAATTGGAAATCAAAACATTTCAATAATGATTCAATCATTAACTTTAATAAACAACTGTCAGCTACCTTAACCTAATTATTACGAATAAATATGTATTATTTACAATAATAATAACTGATAATTTGATTGAACAAACATTTATTGTGCTGGTCAAAGACTGTTTTAATTCAAACTGTATTAGAAATAACAATAATAACAAATCCTTATACATCAATCAAATTTCATGACAAAAATGAGAAAGATCCAAACATAAATAATTAATGATCCGAGTCTATGTTATTTATTATTTCTACCGTCATGTCTGAACTGTCGTTGCATTTATACAATGATAATCAACCAATTAAAGAAGAAAATCTTGTAAGAGGCACCTCAAATGCCAAAATTACTAATTAATTTTCTAATTAGGAAACCATTCAATGCGATGCTTGCTTTTCTAAAATATACGATCTGTTAAAATAACAATAGTGTATTGTAAATATTCTGATTTGTAAGAAAATCGTAATTTATTCGAATAATTAGAGTTTGAGATGAATGACGTGAAAGATGATTTAATTATTATTCATTTATTTAATACTTAACACTAAATGCTCTTAATTATAGCAAGTGAAAGCTTTTAAGAAAAAAACAAATAAATATTCATCATGAAGCATAGTTTTTATAATTAATTAAAATTTTCCCTATTTTTGTCACAACGACAGACAAAAATTTCAAGAAAAGCGGTTCTTACTTGACCTGGTTTAGGGTCGAACCTGAGACCTATTCGTACATCTTTCGATACCAAAAATACTTATTAAAGTCACCCGGGGCGAAAGCAACTATGGTGACTAATTGGTATGTATTTTGAACAAAATGTCATCTGTTGAAGCTTAAAGCAATCATTGCTTTTTTATGCTTCTGTCACTTCACCCCCATAGTTGTTTTCGCCCCCGGTGACCTTAATAAATTAGGTCATTCTGTAAGTAGTCAATAAAGTGAGTCATTCTGACAGATGTCACATTCGATTGACCCGTTATCAATGTACGGTGGATTCAATTTTATCATTCCATTTTGCTGTATCAGCCATTATTTCCCGTTACATTTCACCGTGGCACGATCATTGCACTTTCGATAATACCTTGAATTTCATTGAAAACGCAACTGGCAATCTTTTCCGCTTGTGGACGGTAAAATGTAAATAGCTGGGGTAGCGTGATCGAGACTGCGGCGAGGTACAGTCGGATACAAATTAATGTATTAGACGGTGCATTCGGGACAGTATGAACAACGGCACATTAAGGAATCCTTAATGTGCCGTTGTCCATACTGTCCATAATAAGGATGTGTCTGTGACATGTTTTGTAATTTGGGTATTTAATTAGGCCACCACTCCCCAATAATTCTAAAGCGCTTTTAAAAAATGCACTTCATTCTGATCTTAAAACTTAATTAATTTTAGATTATCTGTAAATTAAGATTTTTGGTTGCATTGTAATTGAAAAAAGTAGATTGAGTTGATAAAATAGTGGCGTCACTGGCTAGTATTTCCATACAAAATCTATGGGAGAGTCTCATTTGACAGTTTTAAAAAGTACACACGGCCACACTGTTAACTATCCATTTCCGTTTTTGCTCTCGCTCTGATTAAATGGCGATTCTTTGCGATAGAACGAGATGACATGACTGGCAATGGGCAGTTAACACTGTTGCCGATGGTACGTCAATTGATTGGTGGTGGCAAATACCCTATTGATATTAGGTGTTTTGCGGCAAAAATGTTTAGTTTAACACAATAATATGCATTTCGGTTCAACACTACATGTATTTATTGTCGTGAACAGCAAAACCGTCCCATTGCTATTGCGACACGTATCGGGCTTTATTCGGATAATCTTGTTCCAGACCATCATTATTAATACAATTCATAATTATACATGTTAAGAGTTGCCTAAATATGATTATGACTTGTTTTGTGAGCCATAAATAAACAAATTTGATTTTACGTCCGGCTGTACCGATTGATGTTGTTTACATCGCCATCTATTCACAACTATCAGGAAGCCTTCATCCTATTAGGATGGCAAAACTGCGATATCACTTGTTTTCACTAATATCTAGGCTAAAATTACGATAATCGATCGAACGATAATCTGAGTGTAATATTTGGCAAACAATAAAGTTAATTACCTCATTGATTAAATAAACATTGACTGACTTATCAACCATCATAGTCATCAATAAAGTTTTTAATAAAAAATAAATAATAAAAAATAATATTAAGATTTAATTTATTTGAGACCGACTGTACTACTTTGCGTTTTTACGAAACTGACAGTAGCAATAGTGACATGAATTGTGTATTGAATTAAACGAAGTTTGTTGACTCATTGATTTATATTCTAACATGCTAGCTGTGCCCGCGACTTCGTACGCGTGAAATTTATATTAGTTTGAATAATATTTCCCGTTTTTGCAACATTTTTCTTCACTATAGCTGCCTTCCTCGATAAAATGGGCTATCCAACACAAAAAGATTTTTTCAAATCGGGCCAGTAGTTCCTGAAATTAGCACATTCAAGCAAACAAACTCTTCAGCTTTATAATATTGGTATAGATTGTCTCATTTGAATGTCCAAATGTGTTTGAATATTTATATCGCGTTTATGTTTCATGAATTGTTTATGAATTAGATTTTCTTTCATTAATTTTATTAATTGGACAAGGAACATAGGTATTTCTCTAATTACACCACCGCACGCTTTGTAAAACATGACAATTGAATGCTGTTGTTGTTTTTAATGATGTTTAACAACTGACGTACGTATTTATTTTGCGAAACGAATACTAAATGATTTGAAGATTTATATTATCTATAATATAAAAATGAATCGCAAAATGTGTTGGTAAGCGCATAACTAAACAACGCCTGGACCAATTTTACCAATTCTTTTTTTTAAATGTTTGTTGAAGTCCAAGGATGGTTTTTACAGCGAGAAAAGTTTGAATAATTTCCGGGTAAACCCTAAAAAACTCGAAACTTCACCCCTAAGGGTAAAACGGGGTCCACGCGTACGAAGTCGCGGGCGGCCGCTAGTTTTAAATATAATAGAAATTCGAATGTAACTATTTTTTATGGCAAGATAAAAGATGTAGTATAAGGCTGCCATTTTTTAGCCCAAGTAAGACACAAAGGGGTGAAAATGCTTTTAAAAACACATTGATCCTCATGGAATCAGGTCAGACCCTCTGAAGTGACCTAATTACCTAGTTTTCTTAATCCACAATGAGGAAGCTCTTGGCCTGCATCTCATCTTATAGAAAATGATGATCAGGCCGAAGGTGGAAGCGAGCTTCACCCGGAATCCTCAACCAGCGAGGAATTGGCTAACTGCTGGAACACAATAATATATAATCCAGACTCTACCACCAACCAACAAGAGCAGAAAATATTATTGCCTCCTTGACTCTGGGAATCCAACTTAGGACCTATGGGTCTATACTAAATAGGGTGGTCTTGCCACTAGACCACAGAGGCAGTTAAAAGTTTCAAGTTATTAAAAACATTTCTTTTTCTGGTGATTGAACTTTTTAGCGAATAACTGAAATTTTATAGTTCTAACCTAAAGTCTCGTATAAAAGTTTAGATATTTTTCTATTTCATGTAGGTATTTGATTACTGGTATTAAATATCGATACCTTCAGGTTCAATTGTCGTATAAACCAAAACCCTACTTTTCAGGAGAGCCAAAAAACGTTTTTTTTTTTAATAAAAAAATCGTAACTTTTTTATTTGAGAAGTTATAAAAAAATGACCAAGAGAAAACATTTTTCAATTCTAGCGATGAAAAAGTCTAGATATTTAAAAAATGGGTATCTTCAGTAGTTTTAAAGTTAGCTTGGAGTTACGTCCTTAAAAAAGGCACTCGGTGGTTTATACGACCCATTATATTGGACCTAAAAATAACTCTTTACGTCGTATTTGATTTTTTAGTAAACACGAGACTGAAATTGATGGCTTAAAGACCATTAGATGTAAGTTTTTTGGTTTATATACCCATTGATAAAGTGATTTATTCAAATGTATTATTAAAACTATACATGTAAATAATGTATTGTTTACTATTTCCAGGCTTTTGTTGTTTAGAGAATTTGCACAAAGATATTTAACAGTGTAAAAACTATATTTGGTTGAGGTAGAAATAATAAATTTGCTTGCATACGAAAAATCACAAGTTTATTGTTTTTTTTTTTACAATTTTGCAGGAAAATTATGGCAAAACTAATAATTTTAAACAAAACTAATCACCATAAATTTGGAACAAAAAAATACAATTACAGCAAAACATTGACAGCTTTCCTGGTTCTCTGCTGACGCATATTGAATTCGTTTGGTTATGATAAATTTTGCATAAAGAGAAGAGCCCCAGTATGCTCAGGAGAAGGATTTGTAATTTTTTGAGAATTTCTCTAAGGAATTTATATCTTTACAAGAAACCCAAATTTAAATTACAGCTAAAAGTAAAGGCTAGATGACAAAATTTCAATTATTTGTCCGTCAGACAGATAATTAGAAAATATTAAACTCATATTTTTTATTTTCTTTCATAATTAAATAATAACAGTGCTACATCGAGTTGAAATGGCGCGATACGTCACGATAGAGTAGAATTTTTACTCAAAAGTGACGTCACGCGACATTTCAACTCAATATAACACTGTAATTATTCGATTATGGAAAAAAAATATGAGTAATATTTTGTAATTATCTGTCTGACGGACTAAATAGAATTTCGATTTCATTACCTAGTCATCATCCCTAATAGTACTTGTAAAGTAATAAATTATTACAGAGCATATCAAAAGGGTATAAATAGCCTTCATGAGCACACTATGGCTTGTTTTCTTTGTTTAAAAGTCTTGAATTCATCACATTTAGTCGAAATCAATTCATGAATGTACTGGACCTGGAAAGCAACCTTATATACCTACCTATCTAGTTATTATCTTTAAAAGTAAGTCAACTTTATTTAACTTTTTAATTAAGAAAAACTTACTTACTGTCCATACATACATATGTGATGCAATAAACAAATGAATATGAATGTGAAACAGATAATTACCATATTGAATACGTGGACTTACGACGTTGGATCCAAATATCTGGCCATATGTCTTTGGGCGTAAAAACCATTATCAATTACGAGAGAGTTTTACATCCTGGCTTAAAAAAATGTATGGTTGATACATCTTAGCAAAAATACCAAATACAAGCATTCGGTTTTTACATCGTTTTTAAGGTATTTATTTATCTTTTAGGCTACAGTTTTTTGGGGCGTATAAACATTTTTTTAGCGAATTTCAATATATCGAATATACAGCTCGATAGAGAAAAAAATTCTGATTAAAATGGTATATATAACTCAATTTGGCCAAAATGGTTTATACGACAATTGAACCTGAAGGTGTCGATATCCTTTAGTATAATTTTGATAAATACCTAGTTTTATCCCAGTTTTTATACACATCAACAACTTTTCTCATTACATGCAACTTTCGGTTTCAATGCTGGAAGCATCTTAATAGAAATTTAATCACCTTCATTATTATCTAATAGATTAGTTAAGTTACTTTGATGGAAAACTTGCAAGTTGTCGTTATTATAGAAGTTTCCCTTTTCACAAGATATACCTAAGGCACATAATATAGTGAATGAGTTTCTTGCGCTGCTTCATTTCTGCACAACACAACCTAAATCTGGTGATGAATGAATTTTCTTAGACAGTTTGAATTTTACGAATTTACTATAAAGTTATCAGTCATCATATTTACCTATACATTAAATTATGGAATGATACAATACTAGAGTAATATTGTTGAAATATTATTAAAAATGAAACATGTTGATAAAAAGCAACATTAATTAATTTTGTTTGTTTTATTTAACTGTTTATTATGATTTTATTGATCTTTACACATTATTAACAAATAAAATGTGACGTCATTCAAGAAAATAGATAATGTGTGTTTTATTTTATTTTTTGTCTTAAAATTGTTTAACAAAATTATTCTTGAAGTCTTAAAATGAAACAATTTATTTAAAAATCGATGGAAAGCCATAGGCTTTTACTGTAAACGTTGGTTTTCTTATTATGTTCTTGACCACAAAACTGCTATAGTTTTTACGTGACTTCCGTAATAACAGACTCAATCTTTATCAGTATTTAGTATTAGATTTCATTCCAAACTGCTTATTGTATAACTAATTCTATTGTGTTACTAAACTGAACTTGAAAAAATTCTTAACCTTAACTTTTAGGCTGAGTTGCACCATCTTACTGTAACTAAGACAAACGTCAAATATCTGTCAAACTCCATACAAAAAACACCGGTTATGGTCATAGTTACGGTCAAATTTTGGGTGGTGCAACTCAGCCTTATCTATATTAATAAAAATGAAACCCGTTTTCCGTTGTCACGACATAACATGAAAACGGCTTGACCGATTTGGCTGATTTTTTTATTGTAGTTTTCTAATACTCTGTACAAGGTTTTTACGGAAAAAAATATAAAGAAAATCTCTACGCTAAGGCGGTACGAAGTTCGCCGGGTCAGCTAGTTAGTTATAAAAGAATAACTGACTGTCTGATCGATATGTCAAAATAGCCCAAACCTACGTGTCTAGCTATAAATTCCAAAGGCACGTAGGGATTTACTTAGAAATGGTTTTTCTAAGGGGGTGAAAAAGAGGTTCCAAAGTTTATATGGGGAAACAAAATTCTCCTTAAACATGTCATGTTCCAGGTTTTTTCAGAATTCATCCCCTAAAAGGGTGAAATGGGGTGATATGCTCTGAATATCAACATGGGTATTTGTATAGGGGAGGCCTATATTCAGCAGTGGACGTCCTATGGCTAAAATGATGATGATGATTTGAAGTTTATTCAGACGCAAATTACGAAAACAATATGGACTTTCTGTGACATAATGAAATTCACGCGAGTGAAGTCTCGGGCAATAGCTCGTATGAAATAAAATTAAAACATCAATCTTACCAATAAAAAACTATTTGTAGCTCCAATAGTAAAATCATATTTGCTAAACACAATCACGCAGAATAGCGTGTTTCATTAACACCTGCTAGCAATGAGTTAACAGTAATTAACCGCTTCATTCATTTAACTTTCAAATCGTCACCTTCATTAAAGATTTTAGTGGTAAAATAATTTTCATACAATAAACAAAGTATCTTCGCTATTGAGGTGAGTATAGACTACAGCATTTGCTCGTAATATAATGACGAACCGCTCTATGTTATATAGATCTAGCACTTAACTCAGTGTCTGAGGTATGGGATGCACGAGAGGGTGTTTTTGTAACGTCGAACGTCAACGAGACTTCAGATCTCCTTCAGATTTATATTATGCTCTGTGACGTCATAACATGACAAAGTCACCCCTCCCGTGCCGCTACCAAACCTTAGGCACTGACTGCGTTAAGCGCTAGATGTAGAGTGTCAGTGTCACTGTCACCCTTTCACGAAGCAATCGTCGTACATTTACTTGCGTTGTAAAATTCATAACTTTACATAGAAATGCTCTACCCAGTCCCGGGGTTCCCAGTGTGAGCCACGGCGCCCTGGTGCGCCGTAGAATACGATAGATGTTTTAATTTTTGTTCCTATCTATCTCACCTAACTACTATCAACTATCGTTATAGGTGCCTGTACTGTATATTTTTTAAGGGTAGGTCGTCGTGAAAAAATACTAAATTTTGTAACTGCGCCACGGAATGAAAATTAATATATAATAATACCCCTGGATTAGAGTATTTTCTAGTAACAGAACAACGATACAACATAGTGCGAATGAAATTCTAGTGTCAGTATCACGCTTTCACGAAGAAAACGTCGTAGATTTACCTGTATTGTATTCGTAAGAACCTTACGTTACATAGAAATGCTCTCGTCTATAGCCACCTTTAGAATGCTGTTCGTGATGACTTTGTAGTTTCGCTTATTACATGGTATTATCACTATTATGTACGATGATCTTACATGGTTAGCGTTCTTTTATCTCAAAGACAATGAAAGTGGTTTTAGATTTGTACTGATATCGTAAACGCGAAAGTTTGTGGGGTTGGATGCACGTTATTTTAATAGGTTGTATCATTCAAAAACTAGTGGAAGGATTTTGATGTAAATTTTCAAGTTTAGAGCTCATAAATTGGAATATCACAATGATATTAGTTGGGCCACGGTTGGGCTGTTCTCTATCGAACTCTATGCAGGGAAAGCCACGCGGTCACGGGCAAAAACTTGTGTGGAAATATTTGATTTTGTATCATCTATTGACCTAAACTTAAGTTACCAAAACTAGCAGAAAAATCGTTATTCCCGTACTGAAGCCAGCTACGAAATCTGGCTACGTATTGGTTGGGTTTGAAAATACAGTGCGATCGAAAGTGTATTTTTTTACGATGAAAATAAGCTCCTAGTGAATTTAATTTTGAATACCTCAACCATGATTTTGCCATTGGATTGAAATGTTTTGATTTCTGTTTTATACGTTGGTTACATGATTTCGCTGTTTTATCTCTTGTATTTCTTGTTATTGTCAGTGTGATAAACCTTGTTATTTATATTTCTTTTCTCAAATTCCAGACATCTTTGGAGAAGACGACGCCGACGAAGACATTGAGGGTGATGATGAAGAAGTAGAAAGAGAAGACTCAGAAAACGGCTCCCCAAAACACAAGTCCAAGAAACCAAAAATCAAGAAGACCAAACTCAAGAAATACGTGCTGCCCCTCCTCTTAGCATACAAGATGAAATACTTCGCCCTAGTTCCTGTGATGATTGGAGGTCTAATCCTCCTTGTAGGGGCTACGGGCCTCGCCGGATTCTTCTTTGCGTTGTTCGCAGCCGTCATGGGTCTACAGAAAGGAGGCGGTTACTGAACCACAAAATAGTTAAATAAAGTCGACTCCAAGTTGCCATCGAACTTAGAAATAATCTGGACTCTGGCCCCTAGTCTAATAGTTTCACCACCGATCCGTTTCCGACTTTTCCCTGATGTTATGTCATCTTTGAATCATTAATTTCATTGTTTCAAATTAATTTAGGGCTCGCGCTTTTGTAAATAGTCTTTCCTGATATTGTTAATTAATTTAATAATTTATTAGTAGTTTTCATAGGACTAATTGATAAGGATAGGCAGATTACGTAGTTACCAAATGTTAGAAATGTATTATGGTGCTTCTAACGATAAATGATGCAATTATACACACATGCTTTGAGTGTTGCTGTCTTTTATTCATCATCATCATTTCAGCTACAGTTCACTGCTGAACATAGGCCTCCCCCAATGACTTCCACATCGCACGGTTAGCGATGTGGAAGCGGCCTGCATTCAGCGCCTTCCTGGTACCTTTATCAGGTCGTCGGTCCATCTTGTGGGTGGACGTCCCACGCTGCGCTGTCTTTTATTACCTTTTTATTATTTTAATCAAGGAATATTACATAGAGTAATAATATCCATTTACCTGCAGGTGCATTAAATGTGATAATATAAAACCACACACTACTACACTACCTATGACATGACACTGAACAACTTTTTCCAATAAACTAATATCTAGTTTTTCAAAAAATCTTCATCAATCCTAAAAATCTTAACCAGTAAAAATTAATTAGAAGAAAATATGAAATATAGATGAAGTACCTAATAATTGCTTGCTTTTGAAATATATTATTGTGGTAACGACGGACAACAACGGAACCCTACACTGCGGGTGGCACGACACGCACTGGGCAATTTTTTGTTTCTAATGAAATAATAATAATAATAATTATAATGTACTATTCTGTGGTAATACGTATAATTCGGATATTAAATTCATAAATTAAGCTTTTAGTATCATATTAATCTAAATATAAATTTTACCAAACCAACAAGACCGTAGTTAGGCAGTTTTTTTTAATGTTCGGGTTTTAATTGTATCCAGCAATTAAAGAACAATCATCCTGGTAATTGAATGGGTTAATATTGAATTAGACACGAGCTATTGTATACTGACTGAAGCTTAAAGTTAATTTTCTCTAATTACATTCGACATTTTTGACATTGACAAGTTCTTTTTTTTTTTATTCAGTTTAAACCACAAGTGGCACTTATGAACGTCAATAGAAAATAATAAAAAAAGAAAAGGTAGCCCTTATGGGGCACTTAACATGTCTCCTTATCTTTTGGGCCCTACCAGCGCTTCGAGACAAACATATTGCAAGTGCTGAGAAGAAACGCCGGAACAAACTCAGTCACCACTTATTGCCAGGAATTATCTAACGGTAGGAATAGTCAAATTTAAGTACATCAAATATGTGCAGACTGAACTGACCACGCATCCTTGTCATCAATATAGTCTCGAACCTTGTAGTACCCTTTGGACATAAGGGTATTTTTTATATGTATCTTAAATTTGTTTATTGGCAATTCGACAAGGTTGTGTGGTATTTTGTTAAATATGGTAATACATTTCCCCAAGAATGAATTACCTATCTTATGCAACCTAAATGATGGAACAGCAAGTTTATTCTTATGTCTCGTGTTAAATGAGTGGACGTCACTTTTCTTAGTAAATAAATGTATATGTTTACGGACATACATAATGTTATCAAATATGTATTGCGAAGCCACAGTCAATATATTGATTTCTTTAAAAACTTCTCTAAGCGAGTCACGTGGTTTAAGACCGTATATTGCCCGAACAGCTCTTTTCTGTAAAATGAAAATTGATTCTATGTCTGCTGCTGAGCCCCACAGTAAAAGACCATAAGACATAATACTATGAAAATAACTAAAATATACAAGCCTTGCTGTTTCAACATCAGTCAAGTTTCTGATCTTTCTCACCGCAAAGGCAGCTGAACTAAGTCTTCCCGCCAAGGCAGCAATATGGGGGCCCCATTGTAATTTACAGTCTAGGGTAATACCTAGAAAGACAGTAGAGTTTATCAGTTCAATGCGTTCATTATTTACTGTAATATTAGTATTAACTTGTTTGACATTAGGCATAGTGAATTTTAAACATTTGGTTTTTTTTGCGTTTAATAGCAAATTATTAGTTGTAAACCAGTCTAATACTTTGGAAAGAGCATTATTCACGTCGTCAAATATTTCCTGACGCCTGTCAGTTTTAAAAATTAAAGAAGTGTCATCAGCAAATAATACTATCTCACAAAGGTCCTTTGAATAAAAAGGTAGATCATTTATATAAATCAGAAAGAGCAATGGTCCCAGTATTGAGCCTTGGGGCACTCCCATTTTTAGGGGGGCGCCCGAAGAGTTAGTTCCGTGAATATTTACTTTTTGTAATCTGTCTGAGAGGTAAGAGTGTAAGAGGCTTAAGGCCTTGCCTGATACGCCATAATGTTCTAGCTTAAATAACAGAGTTTGATGATCAACACAGTCAAACGCCTTCGATAAGTCACAAAATACACAAATAGCATCTTTTTTCTCCTGCCAAGCATCGAAAATGTGTTTGATAAGAGCAACCCCTGCATCGGTCGTACTTTTCCCTTTTGTGAACCCATATTGTTCAAGAATAAAAATAAATAATAGGTATGATATAAGAAGAATAATGTCTTTGGCATAACAATAATTACTATATGAATTAAGTGTAATTGAATTTCAGCACTTAATTATTTTTTTTCCTTAATAAAATAGAATTAAATAAATAAATTATAAAAATACTAGTTGTTACCGCGACTTCGTACGAGTGAAAATATTTTATGTTGTAAACGACATTATAGCCACTCGGTTGTAGAGTGATGTTAAATCGATCTTTTTCAAATCGGACCAGAAGTTCCTGAGATTAGCGCGTTCAACCAAACAAATAAACAAACAAACTCTTCAGCTTTATAATTAGTAAGTAGGTATAGATAAATTTTCCAGTAGTAGAATTAGACCCGATTCGACCAAACTTTTCTCCGAGAATAACTCCTGGTATAACTGGCACATTGACAGTTTCAGTATAGTAAATAATATGTCAAAACTGACGATTTATTCTGCGATTAAGAGTAGGCGCACACCGTTGATTTTTCGTCGGCCGATAGTTTAGTCGGGCAGTTGATCAGTATGGGCATGTATGAGAGTGTGCAAACTACGCCGATTCGATTTGGCCGATTCTTCATACAAATTAAAATCGGGCACAACTATCGGCCAATTAAAAATCAACGGTGTGCGCCTCCTCTAATATTTACTCGTTTGGTCGAATCCACTCTTATGAGTATTTTCTAATTAGAGGGCAATTTTTATTGTAGATTTTTATACAAACATTCCACGTATTCTGAAAATAGGTTATAAAATCTTTTTAATATTATTATAGGTAGCTTACACATTTTGTAGAATATCTCAGATCCGTATACATTGTCAGTAGAATCAAGTTGATTGACCATAAACTGTAGAACCATAACGACATGCTCTACTTATTTTCCATCGATATTTTCTAAATTATTTCTATGCCTTTGTCGTTGGAATGATTTACTCAGATTTTACTTGTTTACTTACCATGCTTTTTAATTTACTTAATCAAGTTCAAAGTTATACTATCGTTTAATACAATTACAAATAATAATATGTTTAATACTTATAAAGCTAAATGTATAAGTAATAGGCCCTGGTTGTTAATAAAGGTTGGATTCTAAAAAATTATCATCATAATTCACGTGCGCGCCTAAAACTCCAGCGGCAGTTGCAGTTGTGTTTGCGGGTTCGAATCCCGCCACTGTGTGAAAAACACAACTTAATACAGAAACGCTAGTAAGTATCTATATACGATTTCCTTATCCTGAAAGTTTAATGAATACATATTTTTATACCCATTTTAACTATCTACTACACTGGTCATCATAAAAATCGACCCACCCGTGACAAGCACTTTCAAACGTATGCATCCCCACCCCACTTCCCACCAATATTACTATACTATATTTCCATTTAAAACCCTAGTTCTAAACTTCATTTCATTAAAGGAAAGGTTTTTACCCCAATAATGTGTCTGTAGAAGAATCCAGCGTCACTTCTTCAAAAAATAGGTAGTTATGCTTGAGCCAACTTTTATGGCTATAAAACTGTTAAGTTATGATTAATCGCTATCCATCTGTTAAAGAGGACACGTGAGATCATTATTTGGTTTTATAACCATAAAAATTGGTCTAATTGATCCCAGAGGTGAGCCCGAAGTGAGGTTTTTTTCAAGTTTTTCAAGTCACATTTATTGTACATATGTATATGTTAATCGTTTATTAGGAAATTAAATGTGTTTTTTTAAGGATATTTATTGGGCTTTCAAATAACACCAATATTGTTGGGGCGCCATGATTGTGTCAGTAGAAACGAGTTTTCCTGTAAAACGTAGGTGGGCCGATTTTTGTGATGACCAGTGTATTATAGAGAGAAAAAGAGAAGAGGGCAGCATCGGTCTCTGAAAATATGTTTGCCCAAAAATACATAATATTTAGTCGTGCAAGGAATTCAGGAACACAAGTATTGATGACATACATTTATCATAGACTTAATTTACAAGTGAACATTATTACAGGAACTACTTAACATCTTAAGGTAGCAGAGAGCATAAGCTAATACTTAAGATCTTTAGTTATGGTCCGAGCAGTTTTTATGCACAAAACATGAGGCACAAGTAATATAATACTATCAGAAGTTAAATACACAATCTTGGAAAACGACATCTATATGTCTAGTTATGAAGCTTGATGCTTCGTACGAACTAGTAAGAAGCGTGAACTAGTAAAAACGATAGATGGGGCTAAATACATCTGAATCACGCTTACTTGAGACATCAATTAATACATTTTGTGAGGGACTTAGGTCATAATAGTCGTCACGGTGCCCACGTCGTTAGTAAAGGCAGACACAGTGCTCTTACAGGCTTAATTTATAAGAAAAACAGTTTTTTTTTTACAAAAAAAATTTGATTCATGTAGTATGAATTCTAACTTCAACAAAGTAAAAATTTGGATTTAGNTTTTTTAGAAATCACCATCATTTCAGCCACTGCTGAACATTATGCCATCCCATGGACTTCTAGGTTACCGGATAGCAGCAGCCCGCATCCAGCGCCTTCCTGCAACCTTTACGAGGTCATCTGTCCTCCTTGTGGATAAACGCACTACGCTGCGGTTGTCTTGCATTCCAGAACTTTGCAGAACAAGAATTGTCAATTAAAAAGTCAAAAGTTAATTACATTTTTATGCATAACAAGGCAGGGTAAGGCAAGGTACCTATTGGATTGCAATCGCACCTGATATTGTGAGATGCAGTCTACGATTGTACATAATTATCTGCCCTGTAAGTGCCTATTCACTATCGCCTTGAAAAGGCCCGGATTATGCTGTTTGTTTCCTTAATAAAGAAAAAATAAAATAGTGTTCAGGAAAGACAGCAGTATGCAGAGAATTCCCGTTCCTAGCTGTTCGCATTATAAAAGAGTTATTCTTTTAAAATAAAGCCGCCGGGCTGTCAGCGGGCTTGGTGTGTAGAGTCTATAGGGAGTTACCACAGACGAGTCACTGCATGGACGACAGCCGCACATTATGTTAAAAGTAGTAAAAAAATCTTCATCATCATTATCATTCCAGCCATAGGACGTCCGCTGCTGAACATAGGCCTCCCGCAATGATTTTCAAAATGGCCGGAAGGAAAAAATCTTATTAGTATTACTATAATCAATATTAACTTTTACAACGTACTTTTACAGCGTTTTTGGTGATTATGAATAAACATTTAAAATATAGGAAGCAGGCATAAAAAAAATTAGGAACGTGTAGTAAATGTAGGCAATATTTCAAAGATAAGTAGGCACTATTTCAAATTATTGTATGTAACTACTACCTACATATAAAAATATAAAAAATGCTTGACGTTGTATTTGTCGATGCGAGTTGTTGTTATCGAATGTTAAACATGTGTTAACCAATATTTGAAATGGCAAAAACATTTTTTGCTACTGCTATTCGTATTTTGTTCGTAAAAATATATTTATTTGACAGGTAGGCCGATATAGAATTTTATGCATTTCCAATGAATGGGTGTATTTGGTGGAAAATAGGAAATTTAAGCGCTAATTAGTAAAATATTCTTATTAGCAGAAGAAGTTGAGGAAGACAACCAAAGCGATGGGAAGACGATTTGAAGCAAGTAGCTGGGCCAGAATGGTTCCGTATAGCAAAGGACAGAAACAAATGGAAATCCTTAGAGGAGGCCTTTGTCGAAATACAAGCTGTTAAGAGGAGAGATAAGCCGAATGCTGAGAATACTATTTTAGTTTAAGTTAATTTTTCTTAGCATAAGTCAAATATAAAGGTTTTTTTTATTTATTAGCAAAATGGCGATCGCTATGGCATCTGTCGAAGACTTTCGGCTGTTTTCGACGAAGCCACGTTTCCTTAAGTTTTTGAAAATAACTATTTAATTTTCTGAAAAATAGATAATATTATTATTGATTGACCTCAGATGGTTTACATTTACAATTGAACGGCGGCGCTGTAAACATTATTGTTTTTTTATCTTACAACAGTAGGTACAACGTCTTGCGATTTCTATAATACCTATTTAACAATTCTTTATTTGGCGCTTTCTAGACTCATATATTTTAAACAATTAATTGAATACATAATAAATAATAATAATCGTTCGTTTCAGCCAAATGACGTCCACTGCTGAACAAAGGCCTCCCCCAAGGTTTTCCACCAATGAACGGTCCTGCGCTGCCCGCATCCAGGCTCTTCCCGCGACCTTTACCAGATCGTCGGTCCACCTAGTAGGAGGCCTGCCCACGCTACGTCTTCCAAATAATAATAATAAACATGATTATTAAATACATTTAACGTAGATTTTGAATGATATTACAATATTGACCTAAACAGTCTAAATGTCAAGTTCTTCCAAGCTTTCCCATACATCAATACACTTCCGGCATCCACAAAAAGCACTCTATCAAACCACAATAGAGTACACAATCGTCTAACACCCCATAATTACTCAAATTGAGCAGTAAACACTAATTGAAGTGAAAAACACATGAAATGGTTGACCGCCCATAATGAACTCATTTGCGTGGTATAAATGACAACCTTAACATGTGTGTACCGCCATTACTGCTTTGTCTAGGCTACAGTTAGGTTAAAACAGCAAAAAAAATGATTTATTAATCATTACACATTTTTAACCATAGCGCCTGGGCTATAAATTTTAGCCATAGCGCCTAGACTATAAAGTACAGCGCAATTTAAAAATGTTTTAAATTTTATTCAAAATGCTTCCGTACTCTCGTGGTCTAATCATAGACAACGCAAGCAACTATGGTATAGTAAAGACAGAGACCGTCTTTGGGTTCGGACCTAACAGTGACAATTATGTGAACAGCACGTTTAACTCAACAGAGCCGCTGGAATGGATTTTCACGAGGGGCAACTTTGGACAAGGCTCTGTGCCAGGTCAGTACACCTTGTGATCTATTAAATTAGAAGTACTAATGTGTAAAATACATTTAAGTCTTGATGTGAAGAAACATCAGGGGTGAATTGTTTTGCATAGTATGGTGAGGTTGTGGATTCGAATCCTACTGAGAGCATTTAAGTGAATTTCATGGATACGAACAGATGTTAACATTACTGTATTTATTTAACTAAGGACTTTTATCGTTAACTAAGTATTTGCTATAACCCAGGGTTTGATTAGTTTGAGTTTAAATTATTGGGATAGTTAAAAACATGATACCTATTACTTAATTAAATTAGTTCCTAAATTATAGGATTCAGCCAAAATCGTTCTCATTACAGAAAAATAGACCATACCTTTATTTTTTAGCTGAACCGAACCTAAGATAATTGACTATATTATCCTCTGTCTTGTGTATTTCAGATCCAATAACCTCCCAATCAGATTCACGAGCCTACAAGGACTCCAAACCGAAGACAAGCACCACCACGTCACCTCCACCACAGCAACGTAGTAAGAAGATTAAGAAAGGAATAAAAAAACTCAAGAAGAAGCTTAAAAGGAAAGCGAAGAAGACTAAAAAGTGCATCTTCAAGGTCATAAAGAAGGGGAAGAAGAACAGAGGAGGAAATAAGTTTAAGATGCATAAGAAGTACATGCTGCCTCTGATATTGGGACTTTTAGCTGCGAAGAGTCTGCTGATTCCTATTGCATTGAAGGCGCTGGCGTTTTTGTCTGCTAAAGGTTGGTAAAACCATAAAGTTCAAAGGCCACAGTTCCAGCTACCCATTTTCAGTCATGTCGTCTCGTTCTATCGCAAAGAATCACCATTTGATGAGAGCGAGAGAAAAAAGGGAAATGTGTAGCTGCAACTGTGGTACTTTGAATTTACTTACAGTTCATTAACTACTATTTGAGGCACAGTGCTCCGTTTAATGCGCTATAAAAAGCTATGGAGATATTTTTCATAATTTTTACTTATAGCTTCATCTACATTAATACTCTTATTTTAACAAAACGGGTAAAGATTGTAAGTTTTGTTTAGGAAGTAACTAAAAGTAGGACCGACCGGAATTTAATGATTCTTCCAATAATAAAAAGCAACATTAATACTAAGTAGGATTTATTAATATCTTTCTGTGATAAACCACCGAAGTTCACACGATCAAAGCTAAAAGCAAAACCAATCGAAAATAAATCTAATGTTTTTATTTTTTCAGGTCTAATGATGGGATTCTTCTCCACCGTAATGGCGTCGGTCCTCAGTCTCAAAGGGATGTTCGACCACCACCACGGATACCAGAACCGGAAGGACGATACCAAAACCCAAGTTGAAATCATCCAAGTACCTTCGAAGAGCGAGGACAGTCATGTCTACTACGATGATCATTATAACCACTATAAAAGAGGCGACTATGAGTTTATACGAGATTATAACAATTATAACAATCTACCCACGATTATAAGGGCGGTGGAACACGGAGAATAGAACTTTATTCATTTGTCTTTAGACACCTTTTTCGCTGTCTTGTCCTAGTCTATTTATTTACAATGTTATTGCTATAATTTAACTTATGATATCTTGTACATACTTTGATGCTAGTTGTATTTCTTAATCGACAGGGACAAGTGTATTTTACTTAGTTTTAATTGATATTCCTACTAGTGACGTAAACTAATTCATACAGTGTTATATTTTTTTTAGTGATAATACGATAATCATAAAAAAATACCAGAATAAAGCATTTATTACTTTATGTACCAAAGAACTTCGCGGTTGTTGTATTGTACAAATCTTAAAATAAATCATATTTAAAATAAAATTCCTGTATTATTTTCACCTATCATTTATCCACTTGACATTGTTTAACATGCCCTATGAAGCACGGAACCATGTTTGTGGAAATTAAGATTGTTGAAATCTAAGCCAAACTGGTATCAAATAGGTACACAAAAGGATCCAACATCTGGAAATCAGTCCTAGAATTAATAAAATCCAAATACCTAAACTCTCTCTAGCTGCTCACATAAACCTTCCCTATAATTTGGTCAATAGAGAAAAATGTTGCTACGACATTATCCATAAAAACTTTTTACTCTTCTGTCACTGACAAAAAACAAAAGCCAACGTTTAAGAATAAAATCTGACATGCAATGACGTTCCCATACATATTGTCGACACCAGAATGTAATTCAAAAGTAAATCTTTAAATCCGTAAAACAACAAAAAACAAGCAATCAAAAGATGAATACAGACGCAGTCGGCTAATTATAATTCAAGAAGATGGGTAAGAGGAAAAGAAGAATCTTTCCAAAGAGGAAGAGGTCTGTGTTCAGTCGCCCTCATCCGATCAAACGAAAGATGATGATACGCCAAAGGAGGATCAAGGCGTTCTTCCATCGACACAACCCTCGGATATCCATTGAGAGAGGAGTGCGCAAAATGGTGGGCGGATTCTATACAGTATCTGATAAAGTCCGAGATAAGATTGCAGAGAGTACCTTGGCACTGGACAACCCGTTCAGTGCGCAGTTCTACGAAGACCGATGTTGCATCCAATAGCCAAATTGTGTACCAGTGAGAGGCAGAACCATTGCATGTCTATTACATTTTATTTTAAATAGAAAAGATAAATCACATGGCCCTTTTTCATTTAATTTCCTTTTCAAGTTTCACAATATCTGTCTATACATTTTATTTGTTGCAAAGTATCACATATCAACATACCTAGTATTTAACTTGATGTCTAAGATTTGATGTGCTATTTACCACCAAGACCACCAAAACATAAAATAATGTCTTTGTGAATTGATTCATTGAATCACACTCAAACTTGTTTATTTAAATATTAGCTCGTACAAAAGAGATATCGTAGATATTTTTATCAAATTATATCTAACACTGTACAAACTGTCACCTATATATACAGCCTGCTAACTAACATTTTATTACCATTATAGGTACAACTCTAATTTATATTTTGTTTCTTTAAAACTAAACACTGATTCACAAGATATTTTAATATTTTATAATTAGAAGCAACATTAATTACCTTCTCTACTAGCAGCTGCAATGAACACTAATTCAATGATATTATTCTTTAAATTCCTGATGCTTCCTCTAATCAACGAACGTAAAGTTTCTAATCGTAAAAAATGAATAGTTCAATGTGATTTGAAATTGAAAACCATTTGTTATACTTATCCAAGATTATGTACCTAATCTATACCAAAGAGATGCACTGATGTAAATTGTGTAATATTCAACCAGAGGTTAAGACAGAATGATCAAAACTTTCAGAGAAACCTCTAGCTTAAATAATAAAACACAACCACTCGAGCAAAGTACCTATATGTATGCTTAATTTTTGATAGACCTACGTGTCAATAAATTTTGATCCAGCATAGTTTTAGGTTTTTTTAATAGTTAATTCCTATTAGAACTTAAACTCGTTTGGTTTTATCTTGTACTACAAACAAATACAATGACTAGCTTTTGCCTGCGTAGATTTATGATATCGTTATAAATATAAATGTATGAAACAATTGCTATGCCTAGAATATAATCAAAATCCATTCAGTAGTTTTTGCATAAAACATCTTGATAGATGTTGAGGCTGACGGGCTGAAGCCCGTCAGCCCCACCGTTAACATACGTCCATCCAACCATTCACATTTATAATTAGTAGGAGTAGAACAGGATTGTTACTTTTTCATTTAACTATTTTCCTCGTTGTGTCTAAAAGAAAGTTCAAGTTACTTCCAGATGATATTTTCTCTCAAAATCCCTCATATACTACACTCAAATCAAATAGAAAGTAACTCGGAGTTCAGTGAGCGACCTTGGGCATGATGCATCGGGTGCATGGACCTGGCTGGGGAAAGTAGAGTGGCCTTGACACATTTGGCTCCCCATAGTTCAAGATGGGAGATTGTGGGACGAGATTTTAGAAGATATTTTGAGTATTTGTATTGAAATTGAGCGATCGAGAAAGATCTTGAAACACCGAAGAACTTAGGATAGCGGAAACATACAGGTAAATTCAAGTCGGTGGTCAAGTCATTTTAGTGATTTGAAATATTTAAACGTATTTTAAAAACTGAATAAACCATTTTGTTTTAGATTGGGACTGAGTCCACGACCTTTCATTTGCCGGGCAGCAGAAGGATCAGCTTAGAAGTATTAATTCGCATAGTATCGTTACTTTAAATGGCTGGATATACACTGACCCTGATCATGTCTCATCACCTCAAATGAATATTAAGCCAAAATATTACAAACATAATTGAAAGAGCTTCACAATAAATATGAGGAAAGCTCCTTACGAAAGTGACTCATAAAATTTATATTCAAAAAGTATTTGACACAGAATGTATGAATATACTGAGCACTGCCAAGTGCCAAGACAATGGTATTATCCCTCGTAAAGTATAAAAGAAATGGCCTAAAAGGATATAATACCAAAAATAACCAGAAGAAAGTTTTATGCAAGCTTAATCAAGACTGATTTATGATATTGATCGTTTTTTACCACACGCAGTTTATTTTTTTAAGTATTTATTTTATTAATTTATGTCGAGACCCAAGCTTGTAATTAAGTACCTATGTGAACAACCAAGTCTTCATTTAGATATCAATCTTGTTTGTAAGGATGGAAATTTAAGTATGGATTACCTACTCCAAGATTCAGGAGTCATTGTAAAGTCCTTTGGCTGATAAATGATAAACATTTTTTTGTTAATTAAATAAGCTTCTGAATCAACGAATCAAAAAGCTTCAGGAAGCTTAAAAACAAGTTGATGGATTATGATGTGCTCAGCATTTATAAAAAGAAAAACATTACGAAATAGAGCACTGACTGTATTGAAAGTTTTATTTACTTTGGAAAAATCTATTTCCATTACGTAATATGAAATATTTCTTTTCAGTGTGCCACTTGACAACTTTATTTATTCTTGCATCTCACTTACTCCTTATTACTTTGTGCTAAGGTGTATTTGTGACTAATTGATAGTTAGAAGTTTGTATGAGTGTTTGTTGTCATGGTTCTTTGTTGTTGAACGCCTGCCGATGAAACGCCGCATACGCATCTGAGGTGGAGTATGAATGAACGCTCCAACTTTGTACGAGGAAGAAACGGTTTTGATACTTACGGCTACGTAGTTGGCAGGTTGGCTAATTATTTTGCTCCGAAACTACTATAATATTTATACCTTTTGTAAATTATTTTCTTATTACTTCTCAAAGATAAAATCCATGTAGGAATTGAAATGCAGTTCTAAATCCCATGTATTTATTTGCCCAAGATAGAAAATAATAGAAACAGTAATTTATAACAATCGTCGTTCGTCAACACGTCGTCGTACGTCACACTCACCCACTCTTCCTTCTCTTTCACACATCTTTACGTTCCGTTTCTCACTCGTATCCTACAGACATTTGGTTTAAGATGAAAAATATTATTCATGAAATGGAGTTTTTTTTTTAATATTCTTGAATATTACAACTTATGCTACAAATTACATAAAGATAATTATTTATGTTTCTTTATCCTCAGAATCATCACGTTTATAATACGCGTACAAAAAAAGTTTAATAAGACTCTTCACGCAGTACTAACTAGAGATTCGCTTCTCTAGGTTTCAAAAACTAATATTCTTCATCCCATAAAGGTCTACATGTTTATGACGAAATTAAACAAAATTACTCCAATTCAGTTAACAAAATTACGGTTCAAGTATCAAAACCTCTCGCTCCGCCTACCTCACGGAACTGAGTTTGTTTTGAACCTATGCCTTACGCATCCCTCCGAATATAAGGCGGAAGTGTCCCGTGCTCGCCTCACTTGATCCTCGAACTCAAGACTGGGAGGTCGTCCTTAGTTTGGAAGACTTTTTATTGAAAATGAGAGTGTTTGTGTTTTTGATTGTTGCCGTCGTGGCCTGCAGTGCTGCTCCTGGTATAGAAGACGATGGGAGGATAGAGCTGTTCTCTGGAGTGGCTATTGAGAAGTAAGTAAACATATTTTACTAATATTAAATTTATAAAGAGGAAAGATTTGATTGTTTGTATTGAATAGGCTCTTAAACTACTGGACCGATTTGGAAAATTCTTTCACCACCAGAATCTCTACATAATTTCTGATGNCCTTCCCCTACGTAGGCGGTACAAAGCACGCTGGGTCAGCTAGTTTTAGGCTCGCTTTTGATTCTCGCAATCTCAACCGGAGGGTGGTGCCCAGAAGGTTCCTTTTCACTCGTTAGATAGGCTTAATATTTATTATTTAGACTGAATTTAAAAAAGATAATTGGATATTAGGTAGATATTAAAACTTTTCCTATTGGTTTGAAATCATAAATTAAAAATAATAATTTTACGTTATCGTGAACGTCCTAACCAAACTGATTAAATAATTTGCAACAGACTGTGTATTGTGATTATGTGAATCCCACTTTGTATTATTTTTAATTACACTAAACCCTTATTTCATACTTAATTTTAACTTAATCAAATTGTCATCCAAGTTCCAAATCACGACGCTCTGACTCACCAAAGCCCAAAGACAAACCTTGTCTAACGACAAACATAATTAAGTTACTTGGAAATCTTCGTTTGTTAATTAGTTTTACTCTTTGTTTGTTCTAAATACATTCAAAAATTCCTCAAAAATGCGTAACACGCATCCTGTTAACCTCAATTACGTAACATGGCGTAACACACAAAATAAATGACCAACTGTTAGTGATTTACCATGAAGCACTTTCTACTGTTTAGGAAAGCTAACAGCCTGTTACACTAATTCGCCATTTACAGATGACACGTCGTTAACCGTTTAAAGGGACTCGTTTCTCGCTTGACCGCACCTACTGACAGCTTAATTTTAGAAGTAAAACAATGTACACTTAACTGCTTGATTTAACATAATAAGGCCCGTATACACGAACGATGCTTGCATAAGTGAAGCAGCAAATCGAACGCACAGCGTTGAATAGAGCTCTGTGATTTATTCGTATTTCACCCTGTGCGTCTACGCGCACTGTGAGACCTAATAGTAATGTTTTTATCATAGAAAACAATTGTAGGATACGCACGACTGAAATCTATCGTGTACAGAATACGTCTGCTATAAGTTCTTATTTTATCCCAATTTTCGTGTAGTATAATTTTTGACTTTTTTTTATTTTGGAGTAAAACAGATAACAGAATCGGCAAGGTAACTAAAAGATTGTTTAGAAGACTGTGTTTTAAGCACATAAAATTAAGTATTTGATTTGATTTGATTTGAAAGAGTTCTATTTAATAATAATAATAAATCTTTAGACAATTTCACACAGCGCCAGCTAGCCCCAAAGTAAGCAACTTAATGCTTGTGTTATGGGTGCTAGCTTAACGGATATACTACTTATATACTTTGTTTTTTTTTTAATACATAAATATTATACATAGTCACACCCAGACCCGTCACAGAAATTAAAATTCATCATTTCAATTTCTGCCCGGCCGGGAATCGAACCCGGGACCTCTCGGCATAGTAGTCCGTTCTGAACCACTACACCAAACGGCCGAATTTAAATCTGAGATATGAATTAGGCACTAAAAAGTGTTTCATGAGAGTACGATTTGTAGTACGCAGGAATTAAATAATCATACGTACGGCACTCTGCGGAGGTTTTAATATTATTGTCTTATAGAAGTTTTTGTTTATTAATTAATAGCTATTATGAAAGTAGGAACAAAGTAGTTCAGTCAAACATTTAACAAAGTACGGATTAAGAGCTAGATTTTAATTCCAACTGTACAATAGAAGCGAAAGTTAAAATCTTATTGCGTGTAACTATTCTTATATACTTACTCTTTCTGATGAGGATAATCTTTTAAATCAGGTGTGATTTATTACCTTCTTTAACATCCAAGTCATCGCTTTATGTAAAATTAAAAACGCCACAAACATGTAGTTGCAGATTAATTGTGAAAAAAAATAATGTTAAGTTTTATGAAAAGTTAAAAATAATAAAATTACAATTAAAGAGTCGACATTGCAACATTTAATTCGCATGTATGTACTGTTTAACAATATAACATTAAAATAATAAAAAATAATAATGTTGCATTAAAACATTAATTAGAAAGGATGAACAATTATTTAATTTTTATTTTCATCGTTCACACAACTGATGCGAATTAATTATTTTTTATTACATATTTTTACTATCTATACTAATATTATAAATGCGAAAGTAACTCTATCTGTCTGTCTGTCTTGCTTTCACGCCTAAACCCTTGAACCAATTTTGATGAAATAATTTGACATAGAGATAGTTTGAGTCCCGGGAAAGGATAAAGTTTTTCTGTGACAGACAAAATTCCAAGCGGGCAAAGCCGCTGGCGGAAGTCTAGTTTTTAATAAATAGGTACATTTCTACTTGATCTGTTTGATTGGTACTACTCATTACAAATGTAGACAGAATGCAGAAGTAAGTTCAGCGTAGGACGACAAGGTCATCCGTTCAGATGACCTCATAAAGGTAGCAGGAAGGCGCTGGATGCAGGCTGCTACCAACCGACTAATCTGAAAATCATTGGAGAGGCCTATGTTCAGCAGTGGACGTCCTAGCTGAAAGGACGATCTTACCTTAATCTAAAATCACCGGATCTTTACAGTTACGGTCAAAGTTAGGTGGTGGAACTCAGCCTAAATGATTGTATTAGCCCAAACGATCCGATTACATGTAGACAGTAGATTTCAATGTTTTCTTTTCATTTTTACGTACCAAACTAGGTTTCCATTATTTAAAACTCTTGCTTTTATAATATTTTTGGTGCATAAAGAATCTGTGACAAATATGTATAAAGGAAGACGTAGATGGTTTCTATAAAAAAATATTGTTTACAGGGACGCGACTGGAGAAGAACAACTGAAAGTCAAATTCGAACCCGGAGAACTGAAGGATGCTGCCAGGACATTCGCAGAAGGTAATTCTTACATCGATCATCTGCCTAAAAGATCATTAGAAGTACCTACTCGTATGAACTCCGTAATTAAGTAGAGCAACACCAAGCCAATCGTTTCAAAATTATATTCTAATTATAAATGAACGTGCTCATCACATAAACTTTTTACCTCAGCAAGATTCGACCCAGCTGGCATTATCGACTACCGGTAGTAAAATCATTTTTTTTATAACCAGCGCTACCAATTTCTAATTAGAGATACCATTCTAGATTTTTCTTGTTGTCGTATCGACGAAAACTAACCAGTGTCAGCCCAAAAAAGATGCATAAAATTCTTCCTGCAAAAATCGGCACTTCCAAAAAGTCCCATCCTATTTTTAAAACCCTAAATTTTAATACTGGCCGAAATCACTACTACGAATGATCTCCAATGAAAAAGAAAGTTGTCCAAACCAGTTCATTGGCCTGTTATGTCAGATCGCGTTACCGTCTCGGTCAAGGTTACGCACTGTTACGAATGCATCGCTACGACTGCGTAGTTTCGTAGCGATTTCGTAGCGCTAAGGAATGAGTTTTTATATTAGTATGAATTACTATGAGGTCTCACAGTGCGCGTGGTCGCACAGGGTGACACACGAACCAATTACAGGGCTCTATTTAGCGCTGTGCGTTCGATTTGCCGCTTCACTTAAGCAAGCATCGTTTATGAATACGGGTGTTTATCTCTTTTTATCATCAGTCTGTAAAAGTCTGTCTTCCTGCTCTGATGTAACCTTGGGGACTAAAGAGTAAATTAAATAGATATTTACTCGGGAAATGTGCTTCAGCGTAAAATTTAAAATTAGGAGTCCTAAGAATTCCCGTGTTTGATTGTAGTTCAAGTTTTTAAATTAATTTGGGCTTGCCAATAGGGCTATTCTCATATCTTTTTCGTATCACTTTTGTATAAATGATTTGAACAGTTTGACCTCCAATGACACCCAATCAATGAAAGTTCAGTAGTCTAGAAACGACAGCGAATTTAAGCAGAAGAATAAAGAAGGAGTTTTAAATATACTACTCGTACTACCAGCCTAAAAATATTTTATAAGTACTCTTTTTTTAAGTCGGTTAAAAATACGCGCATACAATAAAGCGATCATCAGAACATACATACTCATACATATAGATTACGAATAAACCACAATCCTCAAGGTTCAGTGACCCGTTCCACGCACGCTCCTCTCTCGGTCAAGGTGATCTTGTCTGAACGTGCAGTTACTTCATAGTTCAAGTAAAGGAATCATGTGGTTAAAGAATTAAGGACTAGCTTTTGCCCGCGGCTTCACCCGCGTGAAATTTATTTTGTCACAGATCGTCGTAAATTATAGCCTAAATGTTATTCTGGGTTATAAACAATAATACTGTAAAGTTTCATCAAAATCTGTCCAGTAGTTATTGCGTGAAAGTGTAACAAACATGTTAACATCCAGACATCCATACAAACATTCGCATTTATAATATTAGTACGATTTGTCACACTGGATGCGGGCAGCGTACAAGACGGTCGTTATGGAAATCCTTTAAGGTTTAGCCAAACCAACGCGATCACACGCGATCAGTCGGCGTACAGCGATGGAGATCAGACTTAGGTTCCAGCCAAACCAACGCAATCACACACGATCAGCCGGCGTACAGCGATGCATGGCGATTAATGCATTTAAGTCTGATCGCCATCGCTACACGCCTGCTAATCGCGTGTAATCGCGTTGGTTTGGCTGAAGCTTTAAATGCATTGATCGCCATCGCTGCACGCTGGCTGACGGCATGTGATCGCGTGGGTTTGGCTGAACTTTATCTATCCTTGATTGCAGAAAGTCTAGCATTTGACTTATGTGGTAGAAATTAACCAACAAATGAATTAATACTTATACTCGTATCATGAAATTAAACAATAGTGCTAAAACTTATCTTTTTTCTGCAGCTCGAGGTAAAATCAAGAAATACACGCCTCTGCTCACCGGGATCGGCGTCAAAGTGATCGCTGTCCTTGGTCTTCTATTCGGAGGCCTCACCCTGCTCGTGACTAAGGCTCTGGTGGTGGCTAAGTTGGCTTTCCTGGCCGCTGCAGCCTTGGGCATCCAGAAACTGCTGAGTGGAGGTGGCCTTAACAATTTGAGTGGCAAGGTAAGCTAGAAATTTAGAAGCAGTAGAAAGCCTTATGTTTAGTAATTTAGGTCTAAAGTCTTATCATTCGACAGGTTTACAAAACTTCACCATCTTTTCACCATCAATCCCTAATTTTTAAGTGACCCCTATGATTACACAATCAGGAATTTTATTTTCATAGGGGTGACTTAAAAATAAGGGATTGATGGTGAAAACGGGCATTACTGTCATTTACTTCTATGCGCAATGTAGCGAACATTTTTTTTTGCTTACAACCTGAATAGTTAGCTCATCATCTAGGAAAGTCACTACTGTTTGGGTGAGTCCTTTGCCCGGCTGTGTAACTTAGCAACACAGTTTCTTTAAGGGAAATTAATGAGTCGACAGAAATGTGCCATAGTTTACACCTACCTCAGTTTTTCACGTGGAGATAGGCCTCTCTGAATGAAGAGTCTTAAACTGAAATTACATTTTGGTTGAAAAATAGGCATACTAGCCCTACATACTTAGCCCAATTCATCTGCTATAGATTGTTACATCCACGAAGATGCGCCCCACCAATTTTTGGTCGAAGGAAGCGCGGGGTTCGGGAGTTTGATCCGAGCAATCCAAGCGTCATTATTGTAGTGTGCGTGTGCCTGTGCACTCATTGATAAATTTAGCGTGTACCGATAACACTCAAACATTTGCAGAAGAATGGTGGAGTGCGTCTTCGTGGATGAAAAGATCTATACACATCTAGCGAATAAAATTATAATCTGTACTGTATAGTTTAAATTATATTCTCATCACCAGATCGCCAGCTTCCAGTCGTCTCCCCAGCAGTGGTCATCGCCCACAGCGTCAGCAGCATCCTACCCCTACGCCAGGTCTTCCAGCATAGCTCAGGACGCTAACGACTTGGCTTACAAGGCTCAATTGACGTCATAATGACTCATCGAATAATAGGTGCAATAAAAATTGATTGGGGCATAAAATTAGCATGGGATAAGTGCAAATAAATCAAACTTTTAGCGCCATAAGGTGCTATAATACAAAGTAATTTCCAGTGTCATTTTTTTCACTTAATATGCCATTTAAGAATTGTATGCTCACTGTTGAATAAATGAAGACGGCTGAGAGCCAAATCACACGATACGTTGCGGCGTCGCTGCGTCGTCTTAAGCGAGGTTTTGACTAGAAATATTTGCAGAAGTTGACTTCCGCAAGCTGTCACCACTGTGTAAATATATGTGACAAGCCAATTTCTGCAAGATTTACACAGTAGTGACTGTCTGTCACATAGAAATATCTGTGTCGGTGCGGCGCCGCGTCACGTGATACGGCGAAATTTTTACAGTGCGGCGCCGCAACGCATCGTGTGCTTTGGCTCTTACAATACTTTCAGTGGGTAAATATCTATTGTAGTATACAGCTGATATTGTGCGAATGTTAGTATTGAATTTGCAATATTATTTTTATAGTGTTAATGTATTTTAAAGAAGTAGGTATGTTGTATGTTTGTGGCTTGGTTGATATATTGAATATCTGACGTCATTCCTTTCAATGATCTTTTATTAATGTTAATTGATTATTATAACTAACAAAAATAAGTTTTAAAAATTTTAAAATGAGTTTTAAATTACATTTTTATAATTTGTTTTTGTATAATGCTGAATTAGTGGTGCTAAAATCGTTTTTAAGTACAAATTTTATTTTAAAGTTTTGTAATTTATACAGTTTATTTAATTATAATGTAATAAACTGGACAACTGGATGGAACAGGGTTAATTCAGTTCTAAATAAAATGTTTAAGCATTTTAATATTCTATTTTGTAATATTAGTTTGTAAAATAATGTTTTACGGGTTTTCTTTAAACCATTAAAATAGTTTTATTTATTTTATAATAAGTATTCACAAGACTGTATCATTAGATTTTATATAAATAAAATAAATATTCAGATACGAACGAATTTTCTTTATTTTACAAACATTTACGAACTCATTTGATCCAAGATCTAGGGTTCAAAACCCAGATAGGACACACTTAAAAATAATTATGTCCTACTGTTCTTAATTGGGTACCTTGTGTGCCATGCAAATAGTCAGAAATTAAGGTAAAACATAGGTACTCTTTTTCATCAAAAATTTCTACTAGTGGACAAAACATTTGACTCCACTGGTTTTTATGACTTGTTTACTCTATTTACTGTCTCTAAAATAGAGCTTGCCAAATTTTTTATTTACCAGTGAATTAACAAACTAAATAAAAGCCTTGTAGTACAACTATAGCAAACAGATCTTCTGCAGCAACATTATTATACGTAACTTCTGATATTTCAAAAATTGTACGCATTTGCGTTTTAATATTCCAAAGTATAAAACGAGCCATATAAACTTCAACATCAGTCGGCGAAAGAAGTCGTTGGCTTGTATTGTATTGTCTCTACCACTCTTACTACAGAACTAGCAGAGCCATCTAGTGACAGTACTGAGTAAACTCCCGTCGAAAAATCTTTCAATACAGTATGTTGTCGTAGAAAGAATCACTTGAATTTTTTATTGAAGATTGGAGCTAAAATTGCCTCAGTAACTTATTATTATAATATTTTCGTTATTTTTGTTAAAGGTAGGTTATATTGAAGGTTATATTCATATACGTAGATACAGTTTGTGAGTTACAAAGTCAATAATACCTTTAACATCAACATAACATTCAAAACTGTAACTTTATGTAAATTATACTATATACTATGTACTTGATGAGCCCTTAAGTCGCTTGTACCTACCTACATTCAAAACTTACTATAAACTCTTTCGTAGTCATAAATACAAATTAAAGTTATAAATACACTCACAGATACCGAGTTAAATAAAACTGACTCCAATAAAAATCTACTTTTTCCCTATAAATGTATATTCAATGTTGACATAATTTTTATTTATTTTTAGGTTTAATCAATACTTCTATAGTAACTTTTATAAAATAAGGTGTTTAGTTTCGTTAACATTAATATTAAATAAAATGTGTGACTAAAAGTTTGGCTCAAAATAAATGGAAATACCTAAGCATACATATTATTTATATCATGTTATTTGTTAAATCACGAATCTTTTATAAATACTTGTACCTATCAGAATTTGTATTCGGATTTTTTTTAAGAAATCGCATAATATTTTTTCGCTAAATTCGAGAAAATTTTCGACAAGATCAATTAAAATAGAATCATTACAAGTATTTCGTCGTAATGATTGAATATATTATCATTATCATTATAGAAGTAATCATGACATTTTTACTGTTCAGTATAGTAAAAAATTAGCTTTCATATTTTACGAGCTGCAAAGCATAGCGTCGCCTCAAGGCAGATTAGAAACTACTCGAAACTAACGCACAAACCCACTTATATACTAGAATTCAATAGAATAGAATGCGTAAAAAAATTAATGCCGTGTTCACGCACACATAGGTAAATAGCGTACGAACAGCAACGTATGTACACGCCTTTCACTCACCCACACTTGGGTGAAAACTGCGTGAACGAAGGCATGCATAGAGACGCAACGATCCTGTGTTTTTTTAGTGCAAGAGAAATTTGTAACAGCGTAGATACGTATTACAATATTCCTAAGGCTTTGTCATTAGAAGTGTAAAAATTACTTCCCTAAATATTTAAGATTTATTTATTTTATTTAGCCACTTAATCATTAATTTGTCAGTCTGGGAATAATAAATAATGTAAGACTTTAAAAGCACATACTAATTAAAAGTATTTTTATACAATTGTATTCTTTTTACCATTTGATTTAGTGACAGATTTTTTCTTCAATTACTTTTAAATATTCTTCTTCATAACGTGTGTGTCAGCCCAAAACTCCGCTACAAGAATGGTGTTGCCAGCAGCATTCATGAAATCTTTATAAACTTTTAACATTAACCGTCAAGTACTTAATCGTAGTTTATATTTTAAAGCAATACCCAATAAATAGGATTCGATAATACTCAAGTTATCACACGGTCATAAAATAAAATGCTCAATCGTCTCTATTCATTTCACTGTTTGTGCCACCAAGACTGCCGCTTTCTCTACACACACTACGCTGTTTCTGCATCTGTGTGCGTACACTTTCACTCGTATCCATTTTTGTTGTATTTTTATCAGATTTCTTTTTATACTCGTTTCGTATGAAAATAAGCTATTCGTAATGTTTATGTAAAAAATTACATTATGTATGTACAAGTACATTATTTCCTGGGCCTTAAAATTGTTGGATGATGTTGAAAAAACGGTGAAAGCATGAGTAATTAGTTGTGATGTTTACATTTATGTATTTTCTTGAATAATTTACGAAATATTGCATAAAATATTATTTTATGCAATATTTCGTAAATTATTCAAGAAGTACTTTCAAATAATAGACTACATAGCATTGAATCCAGACATCTAAAAACTTCGAAAAATATCGTCATTTCATTTTCCTACTCAAATAATTATACTGGCCAGTTCTGTCCTGTAAAATCATCTCCTAAACTGTGGCCTAAACTAACTCTCAATATCTCCCTATAATATTGTCATTTAGCATTTCAGCAAAACGTTATTACTTAGGTACCATATATTATGGTCATTTAGCATTTCAGTTTGCTGCTAAATAAGAACGTTTTGACTTTTTATTTTAGGTATCTTTATACCTCCATTCCCGTGGGTAAAATATTAACCAGTATAGAATCATAGCAAGATAAATAAATCTTATATTTTTTAAAATATGAACAGTTTATAAATTACACAAAATTAAAAGAAACTAGTCAATATAAATAAGCACCATTTACTAAAGATTTCAATGGAATTTTGAAAGCAAAAGGTACTTAACCATCATGATAATCTGTTATTCTGTATAACTATTATAAAATAATGTAAGTAATACCTACATACAAGTATTGTCGCAAAATACATTGCAGTATAATATAAAAACACAAAAAAAGGTTTTGTATAAATTACCGAATCCGTCTAATTAATTTTGTGATTTACCTATGTACTGATTAGTTATTTTTTATTTTTTTATTTTTTTTATCCACAACGAGGAAGCTCTTGGCCTGTATCTCACCTGATGGTAAGTGATGATCAGGCCGAAGGTGGAAGCGAGCTTCACCCGGAATCCTCAACCACGGAGGAACTGGCTATCTTACCTCTAACTGCCGGAACACAATAATGCTGTTAACATTGTTGTTATGGCGACAGACTTAGGTAAGATGGTGGTAGCTAGCCAGGCGGACTTAGAACAAGCCCTACCACCAACCAAACCGAACAGAAAAATCTGCCCCCACTGGGAATCGAACCCGGGACCTCTGCGTCTGAAGCAGGTGGTCTTACCACTAGACCACAGAGGCGGTTGAATTTTATTGTTAGTTAGGTATTTAAATTTTATTGTTAGTTTCTACGAACAATAAATATTGATACTTTTTCTCCTTCCGTCATAAATTATCAAAAAAAATGACGTAGTACCTGCTTATTCTTTAATTAGACAATTACTATTCAGGTTTATTTAAAAAATAGCATTACATATTTTCTATTCCTTTTTTTATCCTTGATCGGGGACATTGATAGGTATTCAAAATCTTTATTTTTGTTGTTGCAGTAATTATTATTAGTTACTGAGTTTCTTGCGCTGTTTCTTCTCAGCACTTTCCCATTTATTGTCCTGATTCCTGAAGCAGTGGTAAGGTTAATACTGGGACGTGTAAAAGTGCTTTTTAAAAGCCTACTTGCACAAATAAATTAATTTTATGAGTTTTTTTTCGAGTTTCATAACGATTCCAAAATATATTCCTCCAACTACAGAAATTCATAATTCTTACAGCATTTACATAACTCTCCGAGTGAAAACACAAACGTGTCCTTTTGACGCACCTGTCAAGCAATAAAATGGAAAAAAACCTTCTTTCTTCGACATTGGTATTTGGGACTCCTACTTTCCCTCGGCTTTCTCGTTGAGAGACCAGTAAACATGCCCTGACTGTACTTTGGTACTGTAAAGACACATGTACATGCCACTTGACAAGGTAAAATATACCGTAAGTTTAAAACAACAAGGTTGAATTTAAGGGTTTGATGGTTTTGAGTAGGCAGAACGCACAGGTGAGCAGCAATAAATTATTTTCTGGTACATCTTTTCAGGTGTGGCCATGGCTTGGCCACCCACGTATGTGGGAATGGGAGTGGAAAAAAAACGATTTGGCTGTCTATCAAACTTACCTGTATGTCAAACCTAGCAGTATGACAAATCAAGGAAGATAGATTTATTGATTTCATTGAACAATTATTTATGATACTTCTGACTTCAATTAGCAATACAAAAATGTTTAATTAACGTAAGTGCGCCTATTAACGACCCCCCAAAATTTGTATCCTATTACCGCCCTATTTTTCTTTCTTTCATAAAAGACATAATAACTGGTTCCAGAAAACACGTTACCTAAAAAATATCTAGATATGTTTATTGACTATCAAAACGATTAAAGTTTGTATTCGT